TAAGTAGATAAGATGTTGGAGAATGGGATACTTATGATTGAACTTCAGATTTTCAGATCAGAACTCATGCTAACCAGCAGAGGGAATATTAACAAGCTAGGTTAACGGCTAACTAGAATGGACCCTATGCAGTAGTAGCCTACTAGAACATTATGTTTAATCACAGCCACATCCATACAAATATTTAATACATGATTTCTTCTCTAGAGAGTCCACCCAAATAACTTTGCTTGCATGGAGAGGGAGCGTGAACAAGCCAAGAAGAGGAGTGCTCCTGAGGAAGACGAACACGCGCCAAAACAAGGCAGTGTGTCCCAGTATTTCAGGGGTGGTCCACGCTCTCTAAGTCAAGAACGATTCAATGAATTAGTTCTTAATTTTGTGATTCAGGGATTGCACCCACTGTGGACTGTGGAGAGGCCAGAATATATAGAACTCTTCCGTGAAATTCTACCCTCTAAGCAGTTAATATCAAGACGGACATTGGGGAGACTTTTAGATGATCATTATTCATTGATGAAGAGCACACTGATCAAAATGTTGTCTAAACAGAGCCATGTATGCACAACAACAGATGCATGGTCCTCAAACAACAGAAGCTTTCTTGGCGTGACCATCCACTGGATAGATGAAGAAAGCTTAGGCATTTGCTCTGGAGCATTAGCCTGTCGTAGGCTTGCAGGGCGGCACACACATGATGTTTTGGCAGAGATGCTTGAAGATATCCACCAACATTTCAAAGTAAAAGAAAAGGTGACCGTTACAACTACTGATAATGGTTCTAATTTTGTAAAGGCATTCAGTTTGTTTGCGGAGGCTCAAAGAACTATTGGTGGCAGTGGAGAAGAGGATGATGAAGATGACGAGGACGAGGAACAACCTGTCTTCATCAATGTCACAGATATCCTGAACGAAGCAGAGTCAGAGGAAGATTATAGTCTCCCACCTCACCAGCGATGTGCTTGCCACACCCTCAATCTGGTTGCTACAAGAGACATTGAATGTGCCTTAAGGGAGTCAGAGCCCTTTAAGAAAATATCAAGATAAACTCTTTCCAAATGCCAGGCGTTATGGAACAAGCAGCATAGGAGTACTCAAGCTTCAGATACCATTAAGGAAAAGTTAGGTTTCCAACTAATAGTCCCTGTTTCAACCCGGTGGAACTCAACTTACCATGCCATGGAGCGTTTGAATTCTTGTATAAAGACACAGGAACATAAACTCCACGAAATCTGCGAGTTGCTGCAGGTGACTCGCTTCAAAGCCACAGAACTAACCTTCATACAAGAGTATGTCCAGGTGAATATATTTTGATATTAACTAAAAATGTGCAATGTTTCCATGTCAACATAAATGCAATAACAGTTGTAGTCTTCCAGGTTATTATTATTATTATTATTACTATTTTTAATAATGATGATAATAACCACAACAATAATAAAATTAACTTACACTTTCTTATTTTTTGTGTCTCTACCAGGTGATGATGCCCCTTGCCAAAGCACTTGATGTCCTACAGTCTTCCAAATGGCCTACACAGGAGTGTTGGTGCCAACAATCTCAATTCTCCTTGAAAAGATGGAGCAGATGAAGCATGGGATCCACCTACATCACTGTAATCCACTTATAAATGCCATCATCAGTGGGGTTAGAAAGAGATTTGAATATATTTTTCAAGACCACCGGTTGCTCATAGCCTCTGCAGCTCATCCAATGTTCAGGCTGACCTATATCCCTTTTGAAAAGAAGACACAGGTTGTTTCAAACCTAAAAGCGGAAGTGAACCAGCTACAAACCCTGGCTCCAAATTTCATGGAGACGGAGCTTGAAGACCCAAGTGATAATGGTGATGAAGTAACAGGATACTTTCCATCTGTGAAATGTACAACAGTTCAGAACGAGGTGGACATGTTCTTGCATTCATCTGAAACCAAACTAGTCAGTGCCTTCCAAAACCTGCCATTGATGAAGAAGATTTTCCTCAAATACAACACAGGAGTCCCTTCAAGTGCTGCCTCTGAAAGACTATTTAGTGTCGGAAGCGACATTTTCCGTCCAAAGAGAAATCGTCTTTCTGATTCAAATTTTGAAAAGCTTCTTTTGTGTCGTGTAAACAAACACTTGTTGTGAAAAAAAGTTGAGAGTGGGCCCTACACATAAACCCACACACACTCACCTCACACCAAATATTTAGAAGACATTTATTTTCACTGTTTGAAGCTATTTCCCTTTCATCAATCTCTGTAACTTACGAATAATAAGGTTGTATGATGGTTGTTACTATTGTTTTAGTAAAAATAGATAAGAGACAGTTCTTAGCACAATTCATATGTAAACTTTTTTTTGTCCCAATTTCAGAGGCCATTCTTTCTTAAATACAGCCAATAATGGCACTTATTCACATTTGTTATAATGTATATTGTTATAAAAACAGTAATTTGTGATGGCTCATTGTTTTTGGTGTTTTGGGCTATTGTTCAATAAATATCTACAAAATTTTAACCTTTATCTGACTGACAGTTTATCTCAAATAAGAAGATAAGCTTTATTAATCTCACACAGGAGAAATTTACATGTCACATTTGGCATGGATAAAACACTCAAGAATTGTGCAAAAAATAAGAAATGAGCAAAAAAATGCAGGAAAATATAAAATTGCATGAACTGCAGTTTGTTTAATTGAAAATAGCTTCTATATAGCAAGCTACTTTTGACAGAATTTTGTAAATTAGCTTGCTACATTTGTATGGGTGGTAGCTTCTGTGTAGTGAAGCTGAATTTATTGTAGAGTAGCTTGTAGCTTAGCTCACTACACAAATCAAGTAGCTTGCCCATCACTGGTCACGGAAACACAACCAGGAAGAGAAGAGAAGAAGAAGGCCCTTTATTTCAGTTTGATGCTTACACACACACATCAAGGCAAGCAGCAAACATCACTTCCGCGCCCCTTATAGGCAAAGTGGGTGACGTGTTGTTAAAAATAGGTTCAACTGCAGTTATCTGGACAGAAGCACACAACAGACAAGGTGTTAGTTTAACACTTGCATGCAACAGGGAGATGTCTTTCAGCTGTGAAGGAGGCCTGTAAAAAACCAAAAACCAAGTCCTGCTTGTTTGCTCTGCAGGCGTTTTATTTATTTCAGAACAGAACCTTTACCCTCACAGAATGGCCCCATGAGATAAGACATCTACACCCTCACACAGAGTGGCCAACTGTGGACATTGTGGATGATTATTAGCTTGGTTTCAACACCTCAATTGTAGATAGAATATATTCACATTAATTTTAATGATAGTGGACGAGGACACACCAACCGGCGTCAGTGGGAGTCGGTGGAGAAGGTATCGTGGTGGGCTCGAACCCACGACCTTCAAGCTCAAAGACCAACTGAGCCACTGTTGCACTAGAGTAGGGCCAAGTAGGGCTGGTGGAAACAGGGCTGTTGGAGTATTTTGAATTCAGAAGGATCGACTGTCTGCCTCTGTAGGGCAAGTAATATTTCTTATTTGTGCATTGTGTGAGCCGTATGACTATATTCTGAATGATAGTTTGTTCAAAACATGACCCAAATAGCAAAAAACAGACACGTCGACACCCAAAAAAGTTCTTAAATTCCGTGAAATCTCTATGGAAATTGACTTTGCGACGCTTCAGACTTCCCCTGTACCTGATGCATTTTATGATGTGTCTGTGTGCGCCGCCCGAGCTGTGAATCACTCTCAATAAAAGTGAAATAAGTTTGCGTTCCTCTCGTCACCGGAGACATCCATTCACACAACATCACATTTGGAATCCCTCTCAGCGCTCATAACACAGCCACGGCTCCATTTCCCCCGATGTCGCCTCCTCCGCCGCCGCCGCCCGCACTACACACGGCTTCCCATCACGCCGTGGGCTCGCCGCGCTGCAGACCTCATTCGCACCAAACACATCCTTTCACAACTTCTCGCCGCAGCTTTCTACCCAAGAACTGATTTGAATGTTATTGACACGGAATGAAGGCGGACCCGTTTGGATCTGTGTGTGTCTGTGTGTGTCTGTGTGTGTGTGTGTGTGTGTGTGTGTGGTGTGTGTGTGTGTGTGTGTGTGTGGGTGGTGGTGTGTGTGTGAGTGTGTGTGTGTGTGTGGTGTCTGTGTGCGGTGTGGGTGGTGTGTGTGGTGTGTTGTGTGAGTGTGTGTGAGGGTGTGGGGTGTGTGTGTGTGGTGTGTCTGTGTGGGTGTGTGTGTGGTGTGGTGTGTCTGGTTGTGGGTGGGGGTGTTGTGCTGGGTGTGCGTGTGTGTGTGGGGTGTGTGTGCTAGTGGTCTGTGATGGGTGTGTGTGGTCTGTGTGGGTGTGTGTGGTGTGTCGGTGTGGGTGGTGGCGTGAGTGTGTTGTGTGTGTGTCGCGTGTGTGTGTGTGTGTGCGTGCGTGTGTGTGTGTGTGTGTGTGGGTGTGTGTGTGTGTGCAAGTGCGTGTGTGGGTGTGTGTGGCTGTGTGTGTGTGGGTGTGTGTCTGTGTGGGTGTGTGTGTGTGTGTGTGTGTGGTGTGTGTGTGTCTGGTGGGTGTGTGCGTGTGGTGCTGTGTGTGTGTGTCTGTGGGTGTGGGTGTGCGGCGTGTGTGGGTGTGTGTGGTGGGGGGGTGTGTGTGTGTGTGTCGTGTGTGATTGTGTGTGGTGTGTGTGTGTGTGTATCTCACACACAGAGACACGCACACACGTGCACACAAACACACACACAAACACACACCACACAACAATCATTATGGGGCGAAATGGAAGTGGACCATCAACGCCACACATATCCAGAAATCCTCCACTAACTCAGCCTGATGTGGGTTAGACCTGGGCCCAGACCCGTTCTGGACTGAGGTTGGTACTGTTTGGTTTCGTCCTAATGCCCTGCAGCTTTGTGGACCCTCACTATGTATTGGTCCTTATAAAGTAGAGCCGGTTGTGTCATTGGCTGCAGCGCTCTGGACACACCCGCTGCTCATGGCGCCGCAGACGGGCGTTGGTGAGACATGGCCGTGGGTGTTGGGTTCTTGAAGGTTCTGCAGAAGATTGTATTGTCATTGTAGAACATTATACTTATTGGCATCAAGATCAAAAACAACTCATACAACAATGAATATTCCTTTCAAATGGCGTTGAGGGGGTTTGCAATGTGTGCCGTTGCACAGACACTAGGGAGTGAATGAAACACAACGGGTAACCAACTCAAAGAGTTCCTACTGTCTGTCACTAAGTGTGAAGCAACACTGAAATTTCCCCACTCTGGGACACGACGCAACCGGCATCTCTGAAGTCATGTCACCTTTCTGCTGCTTGGACATGAGTAGAGATAAAACATTTATAGTCTCTGAGTTCTCCTACGGCACCTGAAAGTATATATCAATCTCTCGTTCACGTCACTCTATCTATCTATACCATCTCTCTCTCTCGCACTCTCTATACCCATCATCTACTCTCTCTCTCTTATACCCATCACTCTCTCTCCTCTCATACAACTACACCCCCGGGGGGGGGGGGGGGGGGGGGGGGGGGGGGGGGGGGGAGGGGGGGGGTGGGGGGGGGGGGGTGCTCGCTCTCTCTCTCTGCTGTAACCCATCGCTCTCTCTCGCTCTCTCTCTCCTCTATACCCATCTCTACATCTCTCACATCTCTCTCTCTATACCCCATCTCTCCGCTCTCTCTCTCTCTCTATACCCATCTCTCATCTGGCTCTCTCTCTATACCCATCTACTTACTCTCTCTCTCTCTCTCTCTATACCATCACATCTCTACTCACACTCGCCGCTCATCTCTATAACCCATCACTCTCTCTCTCTCTCGGCTCATCTGCTCTCACATACCCCTCTCTCTCTCTCTCTCTCTCTCTCTCTATACCCATCTCCACTCTCTCCTCTCGCTCTCATACCCATCTCTCTCCTCATCTCTCTCCTCATCTATACCCATCCTCTCTCTCTCTCTCTCTCGTATACCCATCTCTCTCTCACTCCTCTCTCTCCTCTATACCCCACTCTCTCTCCTCTTCTCTCTCTCTATACCATCTCTCTCTCTCTCTCTCTCTATACCCATCTCTCTCTCGCTCTCTCTCTATAACCCATCTCTCTCTCTCTCTCTCTCTCTATCCGCCTCTCTATATCTCTCTCTCTCTCTCTCTCTATACCCATCTCTCTCTCTCTCTCTCTATACCCATCTCTCTCTCTCTCGCTCTCTCTCTCTATACCCATCTCTCTCTCTTCTCTCTCGCTCTCTATACCCATCTCTCCTCTCTCGGCTCTCTCGATACCCATCTCTCTCTATCTCACTCCTATACCCATCTCTCGCTCTCTCACTCTCGCTCTCTCTCTCTCTCTATACCCATCACTCTCTCTCTCTCTCACTCTTATACCCTCTCTCTCTCGCTCACTCTCGCTCTCTCTCTCTCTCTATACCCTTCTCTCTCTCTCTCTCTCTCTCTATACCCATCTCTCTCTCGCTCTCACGTCTATACCCATCCTCTCTTATCTCTCTATATCCATCTTTCTCTCTCTCGTACCCCATCTCGCTCTCTCTCTCTCACTCTATACCCATTATCTCTATCTATCTCTCTCGTTATACCATCTCTCTAAACCTCTCTCTCTCGATACCCATCTCTCTCGCTCGCTCTCCTCTCGCTCTCTCTATACCCTGCTCTCTCTCGTCTATATATATATTATTCCATCTCTCGGCTCTCCTCTCTCTATACCCAGCTCTCTCTATCTCTCTATCTCTCTATATCCATCTCTCTATCTATGCATTTCACTGCACAAAAACACCAAACTCTGTCTGTTCTCCAGCCATCCAGGATCCGACGGGCGCTTCTCTTCATGGACAACATCTACGTCTTTACACTCAGAAAAACAACGCCCACTGTTGACCTCGAGCCACATGCGTGGGAACACCACAAACGGCCGCCGCACGAGGAGACTGCGAACATACGACGTGCATTCATTATCGTTGGCGCACAGACAGAAGCAGAACAAAAGGTGAAATTTGGCTCTTGCAGAAGTCGTTTCGCCAGAGGCTGTTTCAGTCTTAAGCGGGGAGGCGTGGGCCCCTCGTCAGACACTCGAGAGTCGGGAAAAAAAGGATCTCTGCTGCAACCAGAGCTCCGGGCGCACAAAGCGTCAGTGTGCTGGTGCGCCGTCCTTTTGTCTCCGCTCGGCCACAGCGGATGAAGTGATGAGGGGGTTTGTGAAGAAGGAGCTGGACACCACGACATGAGAGAAACGCTCCGGCTTTGTGGTTGAAGAATGGTGTTGTGTTTGAGTGGATTTAAAGCAAGTTATCACATGTGGGCAGTGCTGGTATTTTTCGTCTGCGGCCAGGAAGTTTATAACCTCATCCTGCAGTAACCCTTACCTCTTGGCAGCAAAATATCGGAAGGTCTTTCTGACAAATGTGAGACAGGCTTATTTACGTCTAATGTAAATGTATAATGTGCCCAAATCGCCAGGTTTAAACACCGTTCTGTGTAGCTTAGGGGAAAGCCATCAGGAATGCGTCCAGATTAAGATAAATTAACTACTCGGACTCCACCCGCAGATGATCTCATAATTTTTGCTAAGTGGGCATAGTTTAGTTTTTTATTTGTGTCGCCCCGTTTCACTAGATTGCTCATTCCTTTTAGCCTACCGGCAAAAAAACAAACTAAAATGAGGTACATGAAGTCATCGCAGCGGTGGTCAAATAACGGCCGAGTGGCTGTTCGTTGAGTGTCTGGTTTAGCTCTCTCTCTGAAATGTGGAAGGTTTGCCCAGTCAGCCCCACCGAGACGAAAACAATTCATTCTCAGAAACTCTGAAGTGTCTCCCCCCCCGCCCCTCCCCCACCCCTTCCTCCCCCCTCCTGCACAGGACTGTCCACCCACCATTCTACCATCATACTATTGATCATTTTTCTTCTTTATTTAATTTCCCCCCAGGTCCCACATTTATTAATATCTACATTACTAATATTTATTAAGTTCTTCTATCATCATCTTCCAGAATGTTCCAAATTGACTCCACCGATCCCACTTTTTCTCCACACAAAACCTGAATGAAAGAGAAATAGCGAGCCCAAATGTCAGCAGGGAGTGAGGTGCATTCTCTGTCTGCCAGTCCCTGTGCGCTCACCCAGATCGCGCCGTGATCCCTGCGGACAAAGCCTGACCCCGCAGGTGGTCCTATATAGACCCATTTTTCCTCCCAGAATTCAGATCCTGACTCCCGGGGGACAGTGCCATAAGAGATCCAGAGATTGACCAAACCCCAGTCCACTGCGTGCCCGTGGTCCTGCTGGGATCCACCAGGACTTTCATTTCAATTCTCTTTACAACAAAGCGGCGTTTTCATCCGTCTTTCGGCAGGTCCGCGGCTCCTCCGCACGGAATATAAATGGGATAACCAGCTTGAAAGGCAGAATTATCGCTGGACACTGAGCGCTGCTGGAATGACCCGAAATGGGTCAGACTCCGGACAATTTGGGGCCGCGCTGAGGCAAAAACACAACATCGACTGTATGCTAGACGGGACAATTCCAGCCACCCGAGCACCTCAAAGCGGCAGATCCTACTTGGAGGGAAGTTTTTGCGCGCCAATGCGCTTTGCCGAATACCCACAAAACGGACCGGACCGCAGCAATATTGTAGACAATCAACTCGCTCTCAGCGACGGGATTCTTTTACGAGCCACCTGGATTGTGTATTCTCAATTTCCGTCTGTTTTTTCAGGTTTTTTTTTTTCAGGACAGACACAGTGTCAAGATATGGTTATTATATGTTTTTTGTAAATTCACATATGTCGTCGACACATCAAAATGACGGCCTGGTTTCAGATACGAGAGACAATCGAAAGTACATACCACCGCGAGACAACAATCGTAGCCGATACACAATCGGGTCGTTTTATTTAGTTTATATATCTGGATTTACTATTACCGCCTTTTCACTGCACATCGGAGTCTCAAAGCCGTGTACCAATTGTGATTTTTGAGGAGCGGGGCCAGTTACAGGAGGCAGACACATGCCAGACCTATTGTACAGATATTTTAAAGTGGGTAGGGGAAACCGGAGCACCGGAGGAAACCTATCGCAGACATGGGCGGGAAACCCCCACTCAGAAAGGCGCCTGGTCCAACGGGATTCGAAACCTCTGGTCCTTCTGTGCAGAGAGCGAGAGTGGCTATCCACTCCGCCCACCGTCGCCGCCCGTTGGTCGTTTGTGACCGACGGAAGGCCAGAGGCACTCTGTACCGCTAAATGCCACAAATAACACATCCATCAAGTACAAACGGAAACCGGGAGCAAGAGCATGGGGAC